TGAATAACTTTCTCTATTTGACGACCCAAACTTATCGGTTGGAATAAAAGTAACCAAACCATCGCTATGCTTAAAGGCTTGACGATGTCAAACACCACAGAGTTGGATATATCTCGTTAGAAAATAGGTTTAACGTTGTCGGTGCGTCTGTGTGTGTACATGTTGGGTGAGTATCAAAAGAAGACGTACTAAAAAAGGATGTGCACGCGTTAGATCAGTGTGTAAAACACAGTGGAAGATGTTATATGGAGGATGGAATATACGGCGCCACCTCCCAAAAGTTGAGCAATATGATTNACGTACACAACGCCATCCTTGTATTTTTTCGCCATTGTCACTCGTTCATCCATCCGTTGTGACGCGTACCCGGTTTCATGCAGAAAACGGAGCGAACTGTTGCTAAAATATTGCTCTAGTTAAACGAATCAAGAGTGATATGCTAAACCATCTTCTCGCATAAAGATGTGATATCGACTGAATCTGTTTAGATTAGTAAGGGCAATATCATCATCATGCAGCAACGTACAATGAAGCGAACTTCGTTGATGACTGCCAAGCTCTCAATGTACACAAAGTAAGTAAGAAAATATAAGAAGGATTAGGTTTGGCAGAAGGAAAACAAAGTGGACCTCTAAGGTCAACACAACCGAGAGATTAGGCAAAATAGGTGTTTTTCAGGTTGGGACCCGAAAGATTTTGAAACTAGTTCATTCGGGACAATGAAGGATATGGCAACTAACCGACATCAGTGGCGTTCTCGTTATCATTTCTTGTCATTTGTTATTTTGCAAAGTTATATATGCACAGTTAGGTTGTACATTCCATGTGTTGACCAAAGAGATTAACTTTGTTTTCCTCCTTCCAAACCAAATCCTTCTTTTATGTTCTCACTTACCTACCGAACTTCAAAACTGACATGAGTAGATTATAGCTTATCAACATGGTGGCCGAAGAACCAAAACGGATAGACGGTGTGCCATCAAATGCTTACAGTTACTGTAT